CAAGACCTGAGTGAAACTCTTCCCCACCTGACATTAACCGGATGGCTCATGCTTTAGAGAATATGGCAGCAATTGTAAGACAGAGCTTAGAGGTGATTCAGCAACAACAAGCTGTGAATCAAGTGATCATTGCATCTCAGGCAGCAGAGGTAGCAGTTGCTACTGTGTAAGTTCTGACGGAAAACACAAGAAGAGTGGGAAAGATGTGGTCCAGTAGGGACAATCGTAGCCATGGGGAAAGTAGGGGTGGTAGGGAAGGCCCTTATAACAGGCCACAACGGCAACGACAGTCACAGCCTTTCCAGTTTGCAAGAGTTATCCCATTAGCTTCTATCCTAAGAGGAACCACAACTTTTATCCCTCAAACTAGAGAAGCAGGAACATCAGTTTTTAGAGTCCGAACACCTTCAACGGTTAGATATTTTAGGTGTGGAGGACCACACTATTTGAGCCAGTGTCCTCAAACTAAAACTAGAATTTACTTTTGCTGTCAGCAAGCAGGACACATTGTTAAGAACTGTCCTTTTTCACGGTGTGGATCAGCGTCATCTACGGCTAATACTTCACAGGTAGTACAACCTAGAGCCATTAGAACTTCACCAATAGCGAGACCTCAACAGAGGCATGTGTCTCCATTACTCATGAGGTAGAAGTGGCCCAAGCAGTGGATTTTACTCATGGAGCAGGGGTGGTGGCACGTACCTCCCTCTCTCCATCATCTTTGATTTTGAAGTCTTGTACTTCTTTACAGTGAATATGTATATGTGTGTAAAGAACCTTGAGTTACTTATGGATGACTTCAAGTGATTTAATAGTATTGCCACTTACCTTGAGTTTAATGATGATTTTGATTACTTGTGTTGGGTGTTTCATAGTGAATGGAGAATAATAGTGTAAAGTGAATCTAATTAATACTTTCATATTAAGTCAAGATGAAAATTTAAGCGTGGATTGACTGGCTGCTAATTGTGTTTTGATGGACTATACTGATGTGGTTTAATCTTTCTCAAGCTGTGAGGTTGAACGGAGTAATTTCCACTCACTAAGTAGCGATACCTACAATGAGGAAGTTCTTCACTTCATTCTTTTATCTGTTAAAAACAAAATGCAGTGCAAAGATAGAGATTTTGATCGATATAAATGGTATAAGGTTCTTCTAAGATGTTTCTGGATGATGTCCCTTTAATGCTTACATTTAGAGAGGTAGAGTTCTGTATAAATTGGATTTTTGAGGCTGAGTTGATGTTAGGAAGGAGTTGTGGGATCTGAGAGGTCAGGTCAGGAACTTGATTTAGAATAAGATGGTTGGACCAAATGTGTAGTTTTAGGAAGTATCAACTAATCTAGTGAAGAAGTAAAAGAATGGGAATCTTAAGTTTTATTCTGATTACTACTGGCTGAGTAAATTGAAAATTTAAGACAAGAATAAGTAAGAGATAAAATCTTTCCACACTCGGCATTGCTGTTGTAAATAAGTAATGATATCCTCACTTATTTAATTCGCTGGAGGAACATGCAAGATAATTGAAAATTATTTTGAGAATTTTAAAAGAAAGACAATGGTGTGTTGAGTACCTAAGAATAGGTTTTTGCTTAGAAAGATGAAGTTCATCGATTTCCGTTGAAAGAATTATAAGTGACCCTTAAAAGGTAGAGTTAAAGTTACAATAAGAGAGACTAAGGATAGTTACGAAGATTCATTGTTTCATAAATACGGTGGAATATTACCCAAATATTATAGGAGAATTTGTGGAGCTTGCTACTTCCTTGATGTATGACTAGCTGAAAATCACTACTAGGTGGGTGGTTATTTTAATGAAACATTGGGCAGTGGTAAATTTGCATATCGTATCAATTAGAAATTCTTAAGTGAAACTAAGTTATACATGATATTAAGTTAATTGTATTGATTGTGCTGTTGCTGTATGAGAGAGAGTACCATTTTATGAAATGTAAACTTGATGAGTGTAATCATCACAAGAGTGTGGGAATACCGAATTAAGCAAAAGAAGTGGATACAAGATCAATACTTTGAAGAAAATTTTTAGGGGTTGCAACTTTCAACTTTGGTATCATTCTAGTAAAATAAATGAAGTGACGAATATCTGGAATAGGGGTGTAGTTTAAGCCTTCTCATTGAAAGTTAGTGAACTCATTATGATGGAATGAATTTGAGACCTAAAGTTATTTAACTACTTATTTCCTGGGAAGATGAATGTGATAAGAAGAATTGTTGTGCCTAATGAATTTCTGCAAGAGATTTGGACAAAGTACTGTGGAATTCTAAATAAGGCAGATTATGATTTTGTTTGATACAGATCTAGCGAGGAAATTAGCAGAGTCGTTAGTGGTATTTCTAGATACTAAGGTCGAGCTGATAACACTAAAGGTGTGAGTTAAAGAAAAAGGACCTATGATGAAGAACTTAGGAGCAACCTGAATTTTCAACCCGAATAAATAAGAATGAATTTGAGATCTAAGATAAGTGTTCTAACGATGAGGCATAAGTGGCGAGATAGACAGATTTGGTAATACCTATTTTACTTGTCAAGGGACAAAGTCAAAACATTGGATTGAGTAAGGAATTACGAACCAAAGATTTTGTATCTCATTTGCTGAGAACTGTCAGAAATTGTGATGCTGTCTGGGACATAGTTGATGAGTTGGCTAGACAGGTACATTCCTTGCTAGTTCACATAGCAAAGGCTTGAAGATAAATTGTTGGACTAAGTGTTAAGGAGATCATTAAACTGTGTGATAAACCTTCTAGCATTACCTCAGACCGAAGTTCTCGCTTTGTTTCGCAGTTTTGATGAGATTTCCAAAGTAAATATGGGTACTCGATTAAAGTTGGATGCAACGCTCCATCATAGACAGAGGAACGATCAAAGGAAATTATACAAATATTAGAAACATATATTTCTTTTGGAGAATTTACTTGCAGCAACAATTAACATGCAAGTTAGACACAACTATTTTGGGATCTCAAGAGACAAGAAATATCGAATATTTATTTATTAATCTTAAGCGGAATCCATTGATAGTTGGAGCTGAAATACTTTAGAAAGTCAAGGATTGAGCTTAATTAAAGAAGGTTGAAAATGACTCTGAGATATAAATAGCTATATTTGGATCAATGCTGAAAGCTTTTGAAAAGAATTTGGGAATGGATAATCATAGATTTCGAAAAGTGTCACTAACCACGCGTGTTGGATAGACTTTAAAAGTGGATAATATTTAAATCCTTTCAGCAGTATTAAACATTATATTGTAGAAAACTAGTAGCATGCGGGTTGACCTTACTGCATCAATTAGTAAAATGTCGTAAGAGTTTTCATATATCATATTTAAGGAAGTATATTTTTGAAATTGTCTCCTGTAATTGAGTCAGATGTTATGCAGATATGAGATGACTTGTTATTGTACGTGTTGAAAGCACTAAAGTTGAGAAACTTACGGTAAACCATTTGACTAGTGAAGTCACGAGAACTAGACCATTAACGATATGATGTAAGAGTTAAAAAATGGAACTAAGGAATAATATCTTTGTCTCTTCATGAATTAGTAAATTTTCGAAGACGAAAATTTATTTTCAAAGAGAGAATTGTAACATCTCCAATTTCGATCTACTCGTTATGGATTGTTCGTGTTAGTCAGTATTTTTTTCATTTCATTTCTTTTACTCTAGTTTAGTTCTTGTTACAAATTAAAGTATTTTGGGTGATTAATTGATATTTTTTTAGCTCATAAATTTTTTTTTATGATTGTTCGATATGTTTGTGTTTCTTGTTGCATAATATTTCTTTTATGATGATGGGATAATGCTAGATGTATTTTTATATACGTATATGTTATGATCATGTAGTGAAATGTTTTGAAAACCTTAGGATAACAAGAAAACTCTGGGACGAAATTGTCTTTTGATTAAAATAGGTGGACCTCATTTTATTATTATTGTTATTATTATTAGTATTGCTATTATTATTAATTTTATGATTATATATATTACATTTTATATAATTTAAATATTTATAAGTATGTTATCCAAAATTTAATATTTATTTATATTTTAAAAATATAACAATTATTAAAATAAAATAATACAATGAAATATCTATTAATTTTATTTTTATATGACCTTTTGTGAAGTTGAATTATTTGATAAGAATTTTTAAACAAACGGTTAAATTAGTAAATCTCATATTATGTTAAAAAATTTAAAATATAAATATCAAAATATGTAATTGGAATATATAAAGTGTATCCAATAATAAATATATTTTATTAAGTTATAGTATCATACAATTTCCAATAAAATATAGGTTCTTATTATATATTAGATACATATTTGAATAAATTATATTCTAAATAAATGATTATAATTTTTTTTAAAACTAAACAAATTGGAAACAAAATAATAAACCAAACTAAAATTTCAAAAAAATTTAATCTAATGAAGCTTAAGATTTAATTTTTACACATTTAAATAAATGACTCATGTTAAGGTATTTCTTTTTTACAAATCAACCTTCGATTTTAAATAAAATTTGCCTCATTTAGATCTCTATTACTACCATTTTTTACTGTTAATGACAGTAGCATTCATGCTTATATGATATAACTTAGATAGTTAAGGTTCACTTAAAATATTCAACACACCTGTGAACACTTTTGCAACAAATATTTCAACCATAACATCAAATCAAAATTGTCCTATTATTAAAAAAAAAAAAAAAGATAAGATCCCATCTAAGCTAAGGTTAGCAACTTTCCAAGAATGGCATGACATGTGCCCTTGAAAACGCTTGTGAAGGAGCAAACTGTGAATTGGAATTGGTGTAAGAAAACATGAGAAAAACCACGTGTTGAATGCTACAATGCATTAAGAACCTATATAAGTTACAACAGGAAGTAAGAAATATGCATCAGAAAAACTAAAACAACACCTGATTTTCAAAATATTTGGTTTGATTACAACAGTTTAATAGAAGAAACAAGATATGGACTCCCAAAACATGAGCTACCAAGCAGGACAAGCCAAGGGCCAAGCTCAGGTCTCTTAATCTTTTCACTGCTATGGTCACTTCACATTCTCAATTTTGATAACCCAGACAAATTTTTGTGCTGTTTCAGGAAAAGGTTAGCACCTTGATGGACAAGGTTAGCAATGCTGCTGAGTCTGCTCAAGAATCCATGCAAGAGGTTCCTAGTTTTATTTGTTACCATTTGTCTTAATCATGATAATGTGATTTGTATATGCAACACACACTAATAACCGCATGTTCAATTTCCGGTGGGTTTACTCTTAAAAGATTATTTTTTCATTCTTTGAAAAAAAACACACACGCATTTTAATAAAAATGTGGTGAAAGTTAATTTTAAAATATTGGTTCAATTTTACAGTTATATTATTCGAACATAAAAATAATAGACAACATCGTAAACAATTTTACAGTATATATACTGTAAAAAAAAAAACTCTTTTTGTTCCATTTATATCCTCAAAAAACATTTTTCTATTTTTGTAACTGTTAATAAAGTAGAACCCTAAAAGTAAAGCTTATATTCTGTTAATTATGTATAGGCCGGGCAGCAAATGAAGGCTAAAGTACAAGAAGCTGCTGATGCCGTGAAGAATGCAACAGGGATGAACAAGTAGACTAGCTAAATGGATCATTGTGCTAGACAGCGCTTTCCCATGAAATAAATCATGTTCTGCTAATTGGTATTTTTCAGAAACACGTCTTTCATTTTATTTCAAGTGTAACCATTTCAATTCCAGCTTAAGTTCAGCAAAATTAATTTTATCAAAAATTAATCTTCTTAATTCAATTGTCCAATTGTTTAATTTAACTTTTCAGAAAGTTCATTCCGTGAACTTTAAACGTACGTATTATCTGATAAAATAAAATAATGCAGCGAAATAACAAATAATTTTATTTTTTATAAATTAATCTACTTGATAAGAAACTTTAAATACAGTTGTATTAATTTTATATTTTTTAAAATGTTATTAAATAGTATAAATATCTAGTTTAATCATCGATAGTTGGTTTAATAAAATTTATTTTCAATAAAATGTTGCTGTATATGTATATGAAATTGTTGGATGATATATTACTTTGGTACTGTTTCAAGGTAGAATATTGTGAACTAGTTAAAAAGGATTGCATCAAATTTCACTGATACACAAATGGTACTGTAGAGGAAATTTAGATTAATCGGTTTAGATACCCATCTTTCTTACTAAACTTAATGACACTGTTTGTTATGCACATAAGAAAGAATAAAATAAAATCTAAGAAGTTCGAGTTGATTGATTTCGATAACTATTGACTTTAATCAAAATAAAACTGCAGTGTGTACAGAAAGAGAATTTTGATTTATTAATTTAGGAAACATAAAACGGAGTTCCATTAATTTAAATTTCATTAAACCTAAATCAAAGTTGTTTTGAGTTTGATACGGTTTAAACTGCAATATATAATCCAAACTAAACCAAATTAAGTTAGTTAATTTAATTTGATTTTTTAAGTTTATCCAACTAGTCTAAACTACTGGACTGCCCTAGTTTAAACCAAATTCACCATTTTTATAATTAAAGATATTATTTTCAATTTATTTTTACATGAAAATAAACTTATATATGACACACCAGCATAGGCACAAACCTTACACAATGGCATCAAGAAAGACTTATAACCAATTTGTGCTGATGATTTGCTTTGTTTTGCTGGGTCAATGTGGTAGGATACATAACACAGAAGGAGGAGAAGATTTGGTGACAGCAACCTGCAAACACACCCTACATTTTCAAGTATGCATTTCTTCCTTGAAATCAGCTCCTGGTAGCAAGAAATCAAATCCCAAAATTCTAGCTTGCATGTGTATGTTGGTATGTCCATTCAATATTTATGTTTTTTTGCTACAGGTTTGGATTGGATGGGTCTGATGTAATGGGAAATGTAACTTGTAATAGAGCGTATAACACTGATCATCAATCACAGCTTCTGCTGGAAGCAGCTTCAATGATGGTGGAAACAAGGTGTGACTTTTGATGGTTCCCTTTGCCCAGTTTTGTTTAGATCTGCCAAAATCCACATAATATCCCTTTTAAATACGCATAATGATACACAAGTGCATTATGCTCATCTTGATTTATCATAGGCTAGCATTATTACCAGATGAAGTGGCTGTGTTTTTTTTCTTAGATTTCCTTAAATAGTGATATTTGATTCTGCAAGTGAGAAAGCTCTTTTTGTTTGGGTGGCAAAACATGCTCTTGAGGCTTAAATTTTGATTGATATACACAGGTTTGCTGTAGTGATAGTAGACAGTGCTACTGCCCTCTATAGAACAGATTTCTCTGGAAGGGAAAAAGCTTTCAGCCCGGCAAATGCATCTAGGCAATTTTCTGAGGAGCCTTAAGAATTTAGCAAATGAGGTAAAACTCATTGTTGGGTTGGCAGTACACTTAACCTTCTCGGTTAAACTAATTCAAGATTCGAGTTTAGGATATTAAATTACAGAAGATAGTACGTTTGACTTTCTTGATAAATATACATCATCAGTTTGGAGCTAATAATTTTTTCTGATTCTTTAATTGTAGTTTGGTGTGGCTGTTGTAATAACAAATGAAGTAGTTTCACAAGTAGACGGTTCTGCAGTCTTTGGTAGAGCTCAAGTCAAGCCTATTGGAGGCAACATTATGGCTCATGCTACAACAAGGTCAAATCTGAACTAATTTCTTTTTTATTTCTTCTCAAAGCTTGTTTTGACCCTGGATTTTAACTAATTTCTTGATGACAGGCTAGCTCTCAGGAAAGGAAGAGGGGAAGAGCGAATCTGTAAAGTGATAAATTCTCCCTGTTTGGCCAAAGCTGAAGCAAGATTTCAGATTTGTGCTCGAGGAGTTGTAGATGTTAAAGACTGACCAGCTTTACCATGTCTGATATAATGAAATAAACTTTGCTTGTGTCTTTTTGTAAATGTTAGTTACAATGAACTTCACTTTAAAGGAAGGAAAGTGAAAAGAATTATGAATAGAGCTGGCAATTTGGCACTTTTGTTCTTCTCTTACTCTTTCCTCTCCTTTATATATATATATATATATATATATATATATATATATATATCATTCATGTTTTTCTTTAGATACCTCTCTCAGGTTTATATATTCTCTTTAATCATTTTTTATATATAGGTGGTTTATTGTATCTAGACAAAAGAGATTGAGAATATAGGCAAGCCTATGGTAGGGTGAGGTAAAATGTATGAATTGAGGAAAAACACTTAGTCTAAAATGTTATTGAGTGAAGAGTGAAATATCATCTTGTAAGTTAGATAATTTCTTTGGATTATATGAGTCACATGAAATCTTGCTGAGTTTTTGTTTCAGTTTAGTGGGACTTTGCATGAAATATTTGACAAGAGTGTGATTTATCTGTTGAATGAGTCCATGATTGCGGAAATTTTGGAAGAAATGCCAGATAGATGTCTAAAATTGTTGGAATGAAAAATTTTGAGGAAATATTTTGGATAAATCTAACCCTTATTGCTCAAGTTCCTTGAATTTTGATTTGTTTGAGGACAAGCAGAGTTTAAGTTTAGGGTTGTGATGAATCCACATTTTATTGAATTTTTACTTGTCTTTTTTATGTTCCTTAATAAAAAAAAAAGTACACTTAGAGAGTGTAAATAACATAGAAATCTTATTTGAGTAAAATATCATAGGTTTTTTAAATTTTTATTAATTTATACTGATTTACATAAATATAGGTTGCAACTTTGATTATTTGAATAATTGTACAAGAATTTCCAAATTTATTCTATGAATTTTTGGCCTTAGAAAAAATTTGAAGTGAAAGTGATCACTTTCAAAAGTGATAGTGACCACTACAACAAGCTAGATTCAGAGGACAAACCAAAGTGACTATTTTCAGATGTAATAGTAGATACTACAGGGAGCCCAGAACGCAATAGGCTTACGCGTGTCTACTATCACAAACAATAATAGACACTACAACGAGTGCAAAACTGACGCAGAACTGCACGTGGCTACTTTCAAAAACAATAGTGGCTACGCACGCTCCACTATCACTTGCAATAGTGACTATTACAGAAAGGGTGGGCAAATATGAGAGCTGCATGTAGCTACTATCATTTACAATAGTAGCTACTATGGAAAACGTCTACTTTATTATAAATAGATTTTTGAACTTTTAAACTCTATAGTTTTTACCAAATTAGGATACTTTGCAGAGCTTAGGTCAACCTTAGGTGACAGCTAAAGGTCTAACCTAAGGTTTGATTTTCATTTCTTCTTTACTTTGCTTTGATTTTTGCATTGATGTTATTGAATTCTCTTCATTTTCACTTTGTATTTGTGAGATCCATCCTTATGGAAGGCTGGACCTTTTTGTAATCCCTAGTGAGTTCACTCAAAATCTTGAATTTCTAGGTTTTGAATGTTAATACAAATCATTTTCTTTCATGAATTTCTTCTTCTCAATATCTTGAATTGAATTAATGGTTGAATGAGGGAGATATTGTGTAATTAACTCTAACTCGTTTTAATACGATTCTAAACTTAGTTTGCTTAATTTTGGGTTTATTTCTAAGGTTGCTTAACCTTGGAAAAAGGGATTGGAGCCCATTAAAATTGCTTAATTTCGTATGAGACATTAAGACTGATTTTCGCTTGTTAAATCAACTTAATTCTGAAGAAAAGGAAGAGTGTTAAATTTTGAGAGGAATGAGGATAGAATCATGTGAATGAACTAGGGGTTACTACACTTTATTGATTGAGTTTTATAATTTTAACTTCTGCATCTCTTTAAACTTGGAATCAACAAACTCCCCCCCACCCCCCAATTTTTGTTCTTTTAATTATTTTCTTAGTAATTTTTTCATCATGTTTGATGGGTGTTTTCAATCAATATCCACGGAGACAACCTAGGCTTGCATCTTAAATTACATTAATTTTTCTGCATACTTTGATGATAATTAAAGACAAATCTTTATGCAAATCAAATCATTCATCACTAATAAAGACGACTTGTGGTGAATTGTATATTAAAACGTGTGATAAGTGTTGCAAATGAGTTAATGGATGAGGGAGGTAACTTAGTAAACCAGTTTAGGGCTGGCTCGTGGAGTGATGTTGGAAATATTTGGCATAGCAAAGCATCATTGTCTGTGTATAAGCTAACTTGGGTCGTGAAAATATCTATATGTTCTTTAGGGTCAGAAGTTCCATCAAATTTCTCCAATGTTATACCTTTCCAAGTATCCTGCAGTTTGGCTGCTAGAATCATTTGAGTAAATGGACTTCGTCCTGGTGTCCTGTCTTATTCACCCGAAGGAGTATTAGTTTTTGCCTGTTAGAATGTTTTTGGCTTTTCTTGCCAAGCTGACGATTCCCCTTGCTCTTAAATAAAAGGTGTGGTATGAGAAGGTATATAAGTTCTAATTTCACTTCTCATGTTAGCATTCTCTTTACATAAAGATGATAATTCGAGAACGTCTTTTTCTTTTTGGCATTGTATTTCCATCATCTCGGTCCTCGGCTGTTTTACTACCAAGGAGAGGTCCTCATCTTCCCCCCTTTCAGCCAGGACCTCAGGTGTAGGCTGATTCGGTGTGTTCTCGTCTTGTTGG